GCTCCTAATCTCAGCCTGTTACCTGTACAAAGGACACCTGTCCACAGAAGCAATCAATCAGATTCCTCTACCATGCCAAGATCAAAGGGCTGGCCAAGGATGTCAGGGACAAGATTGTAGACATACACAAGGCTGGAATGGGCTACAAGACTATCGCCAAGCAGCTTGGTGAGAAGGTGACAACAGTTGGTGCGATTATTTGCAAATTAAGAAACAAAAAATAACTCTCAATCTCCCTCAAGCTGGATTCCATGCAAGATCTCACTTCGTAGAGTTTCAATGATCATGAGAACAGTGAGGAATCAGCCCAGAACTACACAGGAGGATCTTGTCAATGATCTTGTCAATGATCTCAAGGAAAACAGTTGGTAACACATTACACTGTGAAGGACTGAAATCCCGCAGTGCCCGTAAGATCCCCCTGCTCAAGAAAGCACATGTACAGGCCCATCTGAAATTTGCCAGTGAACATCTGAATGATTCAGAGGAGAACTGGGTGAAAGTGTTGTGGTCAGATGAGACCAAAATTGAGCTTTTTGGCATCAACTCAACTCGCCGTGTTTGGAGGAGGAGGAATGCTACCTATGACCCCAAGTACACCATCTCCACTGTCAAACATGGAGGTGGAAACATTATGCTTTGGGGGTGTTTTTCTGCTAAGGGGACAGGACAACTTCACCGCATCAAAGGGACAATGGACGGGGTCATGTACCATCAAATCTTGGGTGAGAACCTTCCCTCATCCAGGGCATTGAAAATGGGTCATGGATGGGTATTCCAGCATGACAATGATCCAAAACACATGGCCAAGGCAACAAAGGAGTGGCTCAAGAAGAAGCACATGAAGGTCCTGGAGTGGCCTAACCAGTCTACAGACCTTAATCCCATAGAAAATCTGTGGAGGGAGCTGAAGGTTCGAGCTGCCAAATGTCAGCCTTGAAACCTTAATGACTTGGAGAGGATCTGCACTCCTGAGAGATGTGACATGTGTGCAAAACTGGTGGCCAACTGCAAGAAACGTCTGACCTCTGTGACTGCCAACAAGGTTTTTGCCATCAAGTACTAAGTTATGTTTTGCAAAGAGGTCAAATACTTATTTCACTCATTAAAATGCAAATCAATTTATAACTTTTTTGGAAATGTGTTTTTCTGGATTTTGTTGTGGTTGTTGTTGTTATTCTGTCTCTCACTGTTAAAATAAACCTACCTTTAAAATTATAGACTGATCATTTCTTTGTCAGTGGCCAAATGTACAAAATCAGCAGAGGATCAAATAATTTTTCCCTCACTGTACATATCTACAGTAATGCACATGATCAAAGATAAAACCCTTCCAGAATGTATATGGGTCAATATAAAAGGAAAAAAAAGTAACATTGCCATAGGTGTACATTACAGGCCACCCAACCAATCAGAAGAAATAGATCAACTCTTTGCCAACCAGTTAACAAATGTATGTAGAAAGATACCACAGTACTATTGGGAGATTTCAATTACCCAGATATCAACTGGGAGACAAACTCTGCAGCGAGTGGGATGTCAAACAGATTCCTAACCAACATAGCCGACAGCTTTGTCATCAAAAAGGTAGAGAAGGAAGTAGACGTAAAACTATACTGGATCTAATTCTTACTAATAGAGAAGAAGTGATAGAAGGAGTTGAAGTTGCTGGAACCTTGGGTGAAAGTGACCACATCATATTAGAATTCAATAAAACGTAAACAAGCAATAGAAAATAATCCAACCAGTTTCTTAAACTTTAAAAGAGCTGATTTTAACAAACTCAGAGAGAACCTAGGAAAGATTCCATGGATGAAAATCCTAAAGGAGAAAACAACTCAAGAAGCATGGGAAGCTCTGAAAAACATGATCATAAAAGCCCAGACCAGCATAATACCACTGAAAAAGAAATTCAAGAAGGAACAAGCATGGTTGCACAGAGATCTCTTTGACAAACTGCAAGACAGAAAGGACAAGTACAAAAAATAGAAAGAGGGACACCTAACTAAGGCTGATTATCAGCAGACAGCCAGAACAGGGAAAGATGAAATCAGGAAAGTAAAGGCTCAGAATGAACAAAGTCTTGCAACAGAAGTAAAGGACAATTAAAAAAAGTTTCTTTCAACACATTAAGAACAAGAAAAAAGTCAAGGAAACAGTAGGTCCACTAAAGAGAAAAGATGGCAAGGAAGTAACAAGGAGTAGGGAGAAAGCAGATCTGCTTAAATCATTCTTTGCATCAATCTTCACACAAAAAGAAATTATAGCCCAACATACCCAAAAACTACTGTAAAAGACAAACTAGAAATAAAAATTAAAATAAGCAAGAAAATGGTAAGAGAATACCTCTCTGACCTTGACTAATATAAATCACGGAGGCCTGACAGATTACACCCCAGAGTTCTGAAGGAGCTGGCAGATGTTATCTCAGAACCATTGTACCACATCTTTCAAAAATCCTGGAACACCAGGGAAGTACCTGAGGATTGGAAAAGAGCTGATATGGTTCCCATCTTCAAGAAAGGGAAAAAAATCACTGAGGAAACTATAGACCAATCAGTCTGACATCAATACCTGGAAAGATCCTGGAAAAGATAACTAGAAGCCAAGTTATAGCTAGTGGCCAGCATGTGTTTGTTAAAAACAGATCATCCAAATCAATCTTATTTCATTCTTTGATGAAGTGACTAAACTAGTAGACCAGTAAAATGCTGTGAACATAGTATACTTAGATTTCAGTAAGGCATTTGACAAAGTAGACCACAACCTACTTCTTGGTGAACTAGAAAAATGTGGAATAGACAACATCACCACGAGATGGATTTATAGCTGGCTGACAAACTGTACTCAACGAGTAGTCCTCCACTGTACTACATCCACACGGAGAGAAGCAGTGGGATACCACAAAGCTCCATCTTAAGCCCCGTACTCTTCCATATCTTCATAAATGACTTAGCTGAGGGAATAGAAAGGGAACTCATCAAATTTGCAAATGACACTAAACTGGCAGGAATAGCCAACACCCCATAATATAAGCTCAAGATCCAAAACGACAAACTGGAACAATATGCCCTATCCAACCAAATTAATTTTAATGTGGAGACAAGCAAAGTTTTACATTTAGGCAGGAAAAATCAAAGGTATAAGTACAGATTAGACAAGACCTGGCTCAAAAACAGTAACTGTGAGAGGGACCTTGTAGTTCTTGTGGACGATCACTTGACTATGAGCCAGTAGTTTGCAGCAGCAGCCAAAAAAGCTAATACAATCCTGGATTGTATAAACAGAGACATAGAATCAAGATCACGTGAAGTATTATTACCACTTTAAAAAACCCTAGTAAGACCACACCTGGAATACTGCAGCCAATTTTGGTCACCTTATTACAAAAAAGATGTTGAGACTTTGGAAAAAGTTCAAAGAAGAGCAACTAAGATGATCAAAGGTCTGGAGACTAAAACATATGAAGAACGGCTGCAGGACTTGGTTTTGGCTAGTCTAAAGAAAAGAAGAAATAGCGGTGACATGATAGTATTCAGTATTTGAGGGGCTGCCACAAAGAAGAGGGGGTCAAATTATTCTCCAAAGCACCAGAGGACAGGGCAAGAAACAATTGTTGGAAACTAACCAAAGAGAGAAACAACCTGGAATTAAGGAGAAACTTCCTAACAGTGAGGACAATTAACCAGTGGAACAGTTTGCTTTCAGAAATTGTGGGCGCTCCATCACTGGAGGTTTTTAAGAAGAGGCTAGACAGTCACTTATCTGAAATGTTATAGGTTCTTCTGCTTGAGCAGGGGGCTGGACTAGAGAAGACCTCCAAGGTCCCTTCCAGATCTATTCTGTTCTGTTCTTTTCTGTTCTGTTCTATACCAGAAGCACTCCACAGCCCTAATACAATTGCAATATTGCTCTAATGTTTTGTATCTAATAGGCATATTATAGTGGAAAATGTATAATAGCAATTATCTATGGTTACATATTATTTACAACATATTTTCCTGTAGTACTTCTGGCCTCCACTCTTGTCTGCACGCATCTGTTTCTAGTAGCTTTCAATTTCTTGCACTTTCCAATTTTCCAATTTAAAGTTTGTTGTTTTTAAAGAGAAAGCTGCTATACTGCAGAATAAAGCTTTATCTCTAGAATTCCTTGGAACTCACACCCAAGAAATAAGACTGCTGGGTACAGCTCATTCATTTTGATATACATCTAGAAAAAAGTTAGGTGTTTGAAGGGTGTAGATGAGATAGTGGATTACACTGTATCATTTCTTTTTGATGCAAGTATATACTGTAGGTGTTATATAGATGCATATGTTTTGGAGCTCAGTTCACATTTCTGTCCTATTAAGTAAATGATTTTTTGCTTTTAACTACTTTGGCTTCTGAGAAAGGTGTTTTATAACTGGGTATGCTAACTTTGGTAACTGTTTTATAAAAGAGAGACACAACTCCTATGTCAATAATTTTGTGAGAACATCCACAAAATCTTCTTAGAATCCAAATAACCGTACCACCACTAAAAGATTAGCGGGTATATATGTTAAATCCATTGTAATTAATGAGACTTACTTTTCAATAGACACGTTTAAGATATTTTGATGATCATCCTTTGCCATATTATTTATATATGTTATTTCCATCTAAAGGCAGGAAAATCAAATTCTTAAACATACCATATATTGATTCAATTTATTTGTATAGGAATATGCTTTGTGGCACATTATGGATAAACAAATGGAAACTATATTAACAGTTCAGAACAAGGTGGACTATATGCAACTTCAAAGAGAAGTTCAAAAGTTCACTGGATTTCACTGCATTGAACTCTACCTAAAAGATATAGTGGACTTAACACCCATAATTTCAATCAAGCATAGACCTATCATTAGCCATACTGAATAGGGATTATGGGAATTGAAAGGCCACACATCTAGAATCCATTAAATTGGAGAAAGTTACTCTGCAGTCTTCAAAACTTGTTTTCTTTTTCTTTAGCTTTCAGAATGATCCCTTATCCTTTGGAAAAAGGGCACCTTTTTTATCCTTATCCCATTTGTACCGAAACAGCAGATAGAGAACTTCTTCCATGTAAGTTTGAATCTTTTCTGGTTTTATCTTTAAGTAAGGAAGATTAAACAATTTGTCTATCAGTTGGCTCATCAGCAAGGAAAGTTTCTGCTGTATAACTTTATCCAGTTGTCTCAAAGATGCTTTTTAAAGAGGCAACTAGACTTTCTTGTTTTTCTTTGAAGATGTTTTGCTTCTCGTCCAAGCACCTTCTTGGATGAGAAGTAAAACATCTTCAAAATAAAACAAGAAAGTCTAGTTGCCTCTCGAAAAAGCACCTTTGAGACAACCATGACCTGGAGGACTGAAAATCGCCATAGACAAGTTTATCCAATTATTCGCAGAATGGAATATAAGGCTTATCCATATTTGGTTTTGCACAGAGGTCTGTCACTGCATGAGATGTAGCAACCAGGTTTGAGTTGAATTACAAGCCCATTATTACATTTTTGTCAGTACACTACTCCCAGATTGAAAGTTGTAAAATAAACTCACTAGATTTAACAGTTAATTCCTTTGCTAACCTGGAATTAAAATCTGACATAACTGTTTTTACTGGGATTGGGAAAGAAAAATGTTGGTTCCTGAAGCTAATTCAGTTTGTGCTATACCTAAGACTTTGACGATCCCCAATTACTTTTTTCATTAAAAAGCTGTGATTATGCGTATTGTGAAGGAGGCAACTGTCAGAATCCAATCATATTTCATCTTTAATTATCAACTATAGAAACTCCCAATTCTGCCTTCTTTGGATTCTGCCATAAGAGGGAGAGAAGGGGGAGAACAAAGGGGCTTTATGGCCCTCACTTCCTTCAGTACACTTCAAAGAGCTGAATGCTGAATGTGTGTTTATTGTAACATCAAAGCGTTAGCACTAGAGAACCTTATCATAACAAAGCAGGATACTTGCCTTTCATGTAGTTACCTGAAGTCTCCATTCAGACGGAAGAAAGAAGAAAGGGGGTGGAATTGTGATACTTGAAACTATCACTGGAAGGGGGGTTGATTGGGTGGGACTACTGGGGAACCCCTTAAAACCTTGAATGGAAGAGCTTGAACCCCAAGTCCTGTCTAGCATGCCTGCAACCATTTTCTCTTAATAAAGGATTCCTGTTGGAAGAATTATTCCAAGAGTTCTGTCTTCTTAAGATGCAAAGTGGGGTGGGTCCTTACATTAGACAGGACTTGCAAAATTAATCCACCTGGAAGGAAGACCCTTGCCGGGGGATTTTGCAAAAATTTACCATGTCAGACAATGGAGCAAGAGAGGGGGAAAACTCCCTGGAAAGAGAGCCACTGACCCAGTTGGAACCTTGCCAGATGTTGGGATCCGAGAGGCCAGATTCCTCAGGAGAAGAAGTGGTGGAGACACAGGACCACAAGCCTCGCTGGTCGATGGGCGTTGGAAAGAAAAGTGAGTGGGGAAAGGAATCAAGAAAGGTGACCCTGAGACGGGGGACCAAGCAACCAGAATGGAAGCAGGAGATGGAGAAATCCCTGTACGCAAGTGAAGAGGGAGGAAGCTGGGCACCATACTCAGACTGGATCCTAGAGAAAGCTATTGACCTGATGAAGAGAACTCTCAGCTCCCTAGGAGAGGAGAATACTGAACCCTACGGCCGCCCCAGTTCCTGGAGCCGCAAAGGGAGAGACACCGGGGACATGGAACCTGCAACCCCAGGGACATCTACTGATCCAGGAACTCCCACCCCCTACCGGACCACAGATGGCAATCTGGACGGAAGGCACTACCACCCACAACAGAGGCACCGATCCATTCCAAGACGTCCACCGTTGGAAGTGAAATTCAAAGGGGAGCCAACACGCTTGGGGTTTTTCCTAACCCAAGTCCTCAGCTACATGGAGGAATATGGGCAGGATATTCCCAGCGACAAAGCCCGCATCCGGATCGTGCAATCTGCCCTGGATGGACCAGCTGCGGATTGGGTAGTGAACTTGCATGACTCCAATGCCCCAGAACTCAGTAACTTCAACCGTTTCATGTCCTCTTTGAGAAGACGATTTGAAGACCCCCTGGCTGATCGCAAAGCCCGTGAAAGAATAACAACGATGAGGCAGGGCAAACGCCCAGTGGCTGAGTATACACAAGAATTCCGGGCCATTGCCAGCAAACTGAATTGGCCAGAAGACATCCTCCTTGGCCGTTTCAAAGACGGACTAAACTATGATCTATATGATGCTTGCCTGCCCCGAGGGGACCCACATCGACTTGAGGAATGGTACGTCTTGGCAGAGGAAGCAGAGATCGACATATTGAAGAGGCACCGCCGAGGAAAACAATGGAGCCGCCCCCCGCCTGAGCTGACACACCAACCGGTGAAATCATCGGATACAGCCAAGAAGCAGATGGGGTGTTTCAAGTGCGGAAGAGAAGGGCATCGAGCTGTAGAATGCCGCTCAAAGGCCCCCCAGCACAACCCAGACAGATCCCCAATCAACAAACCCAGAGGGTATTCAGCTAAGCCAAAAGAAACAGCCATGAAAATGATGGAAATTGCAGAAAACCCCACCTCTGCTCACCAAGGGGAAAGGACTCCAGCCTACACCACAGGGCCGGTGGATGCCTCAGATGACAGCTCGGAGGGCGAACCCCTGGTAAGTGGATGCATCACACCCATCTTCAAAACAGTGACTATATTAATCCCCCCCATGCCCGAAGCTGTGAAGGTGAAAGCCTTAATAGACTCTGGCTGTACCCGCTGCCTCATTAGCCCAACACTAGTGGGGAATCTGGGCATCCCATCCAGGAGACTGGAACAACCAATCTCATTTGGCCAGCTAGATGGATCCATAGCAGGGGGGGTGCCAGCTACCCTAGCCACTTTGCCAATACATCTCTCCCTGGGCAACCATGAAGAGGACTTAACGTTTGTGGTGACCCCAGGTATGGAATGCCCAATGATTCTAGGGATGGAATGGTTGAAAAAATGGAACCCCTGGGTAAATTGGAGGATGACAGAAATCAAATTCCCGAAGGGGGACCCTATGGACTTAAAACCCCAAGGGAGGCTACCAGAATCAAGAATAGAAAAAGCATCCATAGGAGAGGAAAAAAGATTAACAGAAATACCAGAGGAATATAGGGACCTTGCTGAAGTCTTCAGTGAGGAGAGGGCGAATGAGCTTCCCCCCCACCGACCCACAGACTGTACCATTGAATTCAAGCCTGGGGCAAAACTCCCGAAGCCCAGATTATACTCCATGAGCCCAAAGGAGAAGGAGGAAATGGAAAGATTTATAAAAAAAAACCTGGAGAGAGGTTTCATTGAGCCAGCCAAGCCTAAAGTGGCTGCCCCGGTCCTTTTTAGAGAGAAGAAGGATGGCTCTTTACGTTTATGCGTGGATTATAGGGCCCTGAATACAATCAGTGAAAGCAACCTATACCCGCTGCCCCTCATGAAAGACATGCTGTCACACCTATCGAAAGGGAAAATTTTTTCTAAACTAGACTTAAGGGAAGCTTACTATCGAGTGAGAATCAAGGAAGGGGACGAATGGAAGACTGCATTTAACTGCCCCATGGGGTGCTATCAATTCAAAGTCTTGCCATTTGGATTACAAGGGGGCCCTGCAGTCTTTATGCAATTAATCAATGACGTTCTAAGGGAGCACCTGTTTAAGGGGGTCCTTGTTTACTTGGACGACATTCTTATCTTTACCGAAACAAAAGAAGAACACGTCAAACTTGTCAGAGCGGTTTTAAAGAAGCTGCGAGCCGCCCACCTATATGCCAAACTCTCAAAATGCGAATTCCACCAGGAAAGGATAGACTACCTAGGCTATCGCATATCCCCACAGGGCATTGAAATGGACCCAGAGAAGGTCAAAGCAGTACTAAATTGGGCACCACCCCGCACAAGAAAGCAACTACAAAGTTTCCTGGGCTTTGCAAACTTTTACCGCCAATTCATCCCCTCATTTGCCCAGATAGCCTTGCCCCTCACTAACTTACTAAAAACGAAGGGAGCATCCTCAGTAAAACCTAGCCAGCCACTAACATGGACAATGGAGTGCCAAGCAGCGTTTGAGAGACTAAAGAGACTTTTTTCTGCCGAACCAATACTAAGGCACCCAGACATGGACAAGCCCTTCGTAATACAGGCAGATGCAAGTGATGTGGCAGTGGGGGCTGTGCTATTACAAGAAAATGATGATGCAGTATTGCAACCCTGTGCATATACATCCAAGAAACTCACGGAAACAGAACAGCGCTGGCCCGTATGGGAGAAGGAGGCTTATGGGATACGTTGGGCATTACTCACGTGGCGACAGTTCCTGGAAGGCAACAAAATCCCCTTCCAGGTGTGGACTGATCACAAAAATTTAGAAGCCCTGAAAACTTCCAGGAAACTCAATCCCAAACAAGCCCGCTGGTCCCAGCATTTTCACCAATTCCAATTTAAGCTCAAACATTTACCAGGAAGAAAGAACTTCCTGGCAGATGCTCTATCTCGCATGCCCCAATATAACAGCGCACGAACCACAGACTCTAGACCAATAATGGCAGAGTCACAACTGGCAGCACCAGTAACTACAAGAACCCAAGCCAAAATAAAACCACAACTGGACAGCCAAACTGGGATTGAATTCAGAAAAAGTTTGGAAACAGATGAATGGTTCCAGAAAAACAAAAATGTGTGCACAATGAGAGACGGGTTGCCTTGGGTAGGGGAAAAGTTATATATACCAACAACTCAAAGAGTAACTTTCATGCACTTTGCCATGACACAAAATCAGCAGGGCATTTTGGATTTGTAAAAACTTTACATTTAATTAAACGGCAATTTTGGTGGCCATCCATGAAAAAGGACATTGAAAGTTATATAGCCAGTTGTCCAAAATGTGCCACGGCAAAGAGGTTGCAAGGGAAAGTGCCAGGACTATTGCAAACAGTGGCAAGTCCCTCAGCCCCCTGGAGAGAAATAGCCATGGATTTTATAGTGGAATTGCCAGAAAGCAATGGGAATACTGTGGTCTGGACGGTCACGGACTTGTTTTCCAAACAGGTGCACTTTATCCCTTGCCAAAAGATTCCCACTGCAAAAGCCTTAGCAAAACTTTTCATCCAACACATTTACAGATTGCATGGGGCACCCCAACGCATCATCTCTGACAGGGGGGTGCAATTTACGTCTGCATTTTGGAAGGAATTTTTATCCCTCTTAGGAACCACTCAGGGACTGACATCTAGCCACCACCCTCAAGGAAATGGGGGGGCTGAAAAAATGAACTCCGTACTTAAGCAATATTTAAGATGTTTTCTTAGTTTCCAGCAGACCGAGTGGGCGGACTTACTCCCCTTTGCAGAAGTTGCCTACAATAATGCAGTCCACTCCAGCACAGGTTACACTCCTTTTCAAATAGCCACCGGTCAAAGTTTCAACCCCATGCCAGAATTAACCCCAAACGAACCAACGATCCCCTCGCTGAAAGAATGGATGGAGAAATTACAAAACACCTGGCCAATAGTCAGAAAAGCACTAGATGAAGCTAGGCAGGCATATAAAACACAAGCCGATAAAAAAAGGGTTGAGCCTACACCATTCATTATAGGAGAAATGGTGTACTTATCTACAAAATACCTAAAGTCCCTACAGCCCTGTAAAAAACTTGGACCAAAATATATAGGACCTTTTCCAATTAAAAGAATCATAAATCCAGTAACAGTAGAATTAGAATTACCCAAAAATCTCAGGCAAATACACCCAATTTTTCATTGCAGCTTGCTGAAAAGAGAGCATCAGTCACCTCTACGGCCAAAAATCCCCCCCCACCACCTCCAATCATGGTGGAGGGTGAACAACACTTCGAAATAAAGGAAGTCCTTGACTCTAGGAGATATCATGGAGCAACTCAGTACCTAGTTGCCTGGAAACACCTCCCTCCCTCACAAAATGAGTGGGTCCATAAACGTCATGTCAGAGCCCCGAAGCTATTGAAGAAGTTTCACACAGAGTATCCTAACAAGCCTAACTAAATTTTATACTTGTGTTTTCTTTCAGGTGGATCTCTCTTATTTTTAAGAGGGGCCGGATGTCAGAATCCAATCATATTTCATCTTTAATTATCAAATATAGAAACTCCCAATTCTGCCTTCTTTGGATTCTGCCATAAGAGGGAGAGAAGGGGGAGAACAAAGGGGCTTTATGGCCCTCACTTCCTTCAGTACACTTCAAAGAGCTGAATGCTGAATGTGTGTTTATTGTAACATCAAAGCGTTAGCACTAGAGAACCTTATCATAACAAAGCAGGATACTTGCCTTTCATGTAGTTACCTGAAGTCTCCATTCAGACGGAAGAAAGAAGAAAGGGGGTGGAATTGTGATACTTGAAACTATCACTGGAAGGGGGGTTGATTGGGTGGGACTACTGGGGAACCCCTTAAAACCTTGAATGGAAGAGCTTGAACCCCAAGTCCTGTCTAGCATGCCTGCAACCATTTTCTCTTAATAAAGGATTCCTGTTGGAAGAATTATTCCAAGAGTTCTGTCTTCTTAAGATGCAAAGTGGGGTTTGCAAGCCTTTAGTCAAGAATACTCAATGTAACAAAAGATAGAGATTCAAGCTGGGATCTTTAATATGAAATTATCTTCATTGAACAGAAATTCAGTGAAGTATGTGTACATGTATTGCTTTGTTAAATAAGTAAAAATAACCTTGGTGAAAGGATACACATATCAAACTTGGTATTATATAAATATTAATAAAACATACAAATTAATAATTAGCAAAAACTGGATTAAGTATAGTCTGATAACAATTTAATTGATCTTTTTTAAAAAAGAGATACGGATAACTGAATAATTTAATCAGTTATTATTTTGTTCTTAAGTCCAAGGTCCCTTCTACTTTTCATACTTGGGTGTTGTGTTATTTTATTAACTCTGTTAATGCATAATTTTCTTTTTGTTAGTTTAATAAAAAGTTATTTAATTATTAATAGCAGAAAACCAATTACAGTATAAAATTAATTGTAAGAATCATGGAGATTTATAATAAAAATAATTTTAGGAAATTTAACCAGATTGGTTGAAAATCTGTAACTTTGTTTAAAACAGTGTTTTACTTGTTTTTTTTCTTTATTAACGTCTTGGCAGCATTTCATGAAGTCTCTGTTTACCCCAAGAAAGAGCTTCCATTCTTTATTCTGTTCACTGCTGGACTATGTTCTTTCACAGCTATGTTGGCCCTTCTGACACATCAGTTCCCAGAACTAATGGGAGTTTTTGCAAAAGCAGTGAGTAGCATGTTTTCTTGTTTGCTTATTTTGGGATGGTTCAAGGGGAGGGGTGAGTAAATGAATGAATGAAATGGGATAACAGGTTTTTTTAATCAGCAAGCACAACAGTTGCTGTTTTTTTTTTTGTGCCATATGGCAGCTATCCTTTACAAATCATTATTTGTCACTGTATTTTAGAAATGAGTTGGAGGAATGTGATTTGAGTTACTAATCTGTTGCCAGGGCTCTTCCAATACGAGAACATATCATTTCAAATGAAATGAGTAAAATATATGGTTAATTCAAAGAAACATGCCACTTTTTAAATGTGTTATGACAGGAGCACTTAAATTGTTATATTCACATATGGGCAGAATAGTTGAGAACACATAAAGTATTATTAATGTTTACAACCAGCATCATGTCAATAGTTAATGTTAGATTTTTATTTCTTGCATTTAATTTTGATATTGAGACCAACCAAACTCCTTAACAAGTCTGGGCAGCTTACAATTAAAAAAGAAAAAAAAAACATCTGTGAACATATATGAGATCATATATAATAGAATCAGGAGATGAAATGCTACAACACAGTAACAAAATATAAGTCAGATAAAATGCAAACTAAGTTACTGTTGCTGAATAGCCAGTTTCAATGGAGATAAACAAATCACCACCTAAGCAAGGGAATTCCAGGAGCATATATTTTGTCCTGCTCTTGCTACTCTTTCATTCCATTTTTAGTGATAAATGATCAGTTAAAAAAAGGAGGGGGAAGGCTGATATACTTTTATATCCTACTGCAGCCCTATCGGTATATTGCTCTTATGATCTGACTAAATGCTGTTATTTATTATTTGTTCAATTTCTGGCTGGCTTATCCCCAAAATTTCATTTTGATGTATGCCGATTGGTGTACATTCAAAGTGACAAAGTTGTTGTTCTTATATCCTTAAGAATCCCTATCAAACTATTCTTTATATTGTAAAAATGCTGTCACCTTTGGACACCAGCCTTTCCTATCCTCATGCCTTTCAGAAGTAAAGAAATTCCCGAGCTAAGAATTCTGAAAGTTGACTGAAGGGCACCATAAGAGATGAGAGGCCAATAGGTTCACATGAGGTGAAAACCAGAACAAAATTCTTGGGAAAAACAGACCATGATTAAGATGAGGATGATCTGTTTAATGAGTATAGGAACATTGGGAGAAAATTTAATGGTATAATTAAGCAAGAGCCCCATGATTAAAACAGTCATCAGAGAAGGCCAACAAAGAGTACTGGAAAACCTAGTCATAATAGAAAAGAGATCCTCAGTGAGTTGAGGAAGAGGGCTTAAATCATACATCAAAATATATCTGAACTATAAATGATTTCCTTTGTAGCATGCCATCGATAGAAATGTCAACAGGACAGTTTTGTTCTGCAGATTAAATAAACTTTATATTAATATATTGATTCAAATGTATCTACTAAATATATTAAAATTATTTCAAATGAAAATGTGTTATTGCAAGCTAGGTTGAGTGGTACAGATCAGATAACCATAACTCATAACCATAATTTTCTTGCAGTTTCTTAGTACTCTCTTTGCTCCCTTGAACTTTGTGATGGAAAAAGTGGAAAGCATCCTGCCCTCCAGTCTCTGGCATCAGCTAACAAGGATCTAAAGAAAAACAGTTCTCAGTGACTGCCATATTTTCTGTGCCAACTTCCTGTTGACTACCAGAAAGCATGATTTTTTTTTTAAAAGAGAGCCCACGTTAAGCTCCTCATAAATTGTCTGTTATCATAATTTTTGTTGTACAAAATACATTGATGTTTGATTCTATTTTGCTTCCAAAAAACAAAAACTAAAAAAAATAAACTTTTGTGTATGGCAACCATTTGATCTTGTTTTAATTCTCTTCCAGCTTCCATGAGGAATTGAGTGTCATGATTGATTAAATAGGGGAATACAAAGCACCTCCTCCCAGGTTATATTCCAGAAAAGTGGAGAAACTAAGGACAGATTTAGAGGGTGAGGTGAAAGGATGTAACTAACGAGAGCTGGGAGTTTAGGAAGACCTCTGTCAGAGGGAGAGTGTTAAATATTTAGTTCCAGGGAAGGCAAGAATTGACAGCCTGTAAATATAATTGTAAACTAATCTTAACCAATTTCTTTGTTTAAACAGTACAAAGGGACTATGGTGTTCTGCAGCTTATTTCTGAGTCATGATTTGTTAAATATATAAAAGAGAAGATAAAAGGCCATTTCCAAACCAGGAAAGGGTTTAGTAGTGGCAGCAAAACCAATAGACGTTTCAGAGATTATTTCCATTTTAATAGGATTACACTTTTGATTTTAGTAGTGGCAGCAAAACCAATAGACTTTTCAGCGATTATTTCCATTTTAATAGGATTACACTTTTGATTCTAACGATTAAAAAAAGTTAAAGTATGCTCACAACACTGTATATACACAAGACATGCCAAATGTGAAGTTAGAAGTTAGGAAACAAAAAGGACAGCTCATGAGACAGAATAATAACAAACAACAATGAGGTAAAAATTGTCAGAAAAAACGTTAACTGTCAACTATAATTGGAAACGCAGGAACAGAAAGTTTTTTCACACAAAAGACAATTCTGGCTCCAAAACTGTGTCAATAAACAGGTCACCTTTGTTAATATAATGTAAGTTTTCCTCATGAAGGTGTCAGCTCAGAGGAAATGGGGTTCCCCATCATAAGAAACTATATTGCAGGGTAGTGTATATAAGGAGAGGAAAGGGGACAGATAAAACCCACCAGGAAATAATTGGAAAGTCTGAAATAGAAAAACTGAGGAATCCAAAGGAAAAAAAATGACCCATTATGTGGTATGTGAGAAATACCAGCAACCTTTGACTTCAATTAGAACAAATACAGTGTGCACAACTATTAGCCAAGTGAATATTTTGACCATATCATTCTTCATGCATATTTTCCATCTCCAAGCTGTAATCTTAAATGCTTAGTGATATAAGCACATCAGATGACGTGTATTTGTTCACAACCAGGGGAGCAAAAACTTGGGTTTTCAAAATTATAGTCTATATACATAATTCATTGCCATTATTTCAAACTTTTGTAAGGGGTGCAGCTTTTTTTCCTCAGGCAAAATGGCCAAAAAAGAGATTTAACTGACTGAAAAGTCAAACATTGTAAAAAGTCTTTCAGAGGGATGTGGCACTCTTGAAATTGCTACGATATTGGGGCGTGATCACAAAACCATCAAATGTTTTGTTGCAAATAGTCAACACGGTCACAAGAAACATGTTAAGAAAAAAAGATACATATTAACTGCCAAAGATTTGAAAAGAATCAAATGTGAAGCTACCAGGAATACATTATCCTCCAATACTGTCATATTGCAGAACTGCTACCTACCTGGAGTGCCCAGAAGTAAAAGATGTTCAGTGCTCAGAGACATGGCCAAGGTAAGGAAGGCTGAAACCCAACCACCACTGAACAAGACATATAAGTTGAAACTGAAAGACTGGGCCAAGAAGTATCTGAAGACAAGATTTATGGACCGATGAGTAATGCATGATTGATTAGATGGATGGACCCATGGTTGGACCAGTAACGGGCAGAGCTCCACTTCAACTCAAATGCCAGCATGGAGATGGGGTACTGGTATGGGCTGGTATTATTAAAGATGAGCTAGTTGGACCTTTTCGGATTGAAGATGAAACTCAAAATCAACTCCCAAACCTGCCAGTTTTTAGAAGACACTTTAAGCAGTGGTACAGGAAAAAGTCTGCATCTTTCAAGACCATGATTTTTATGCAGGACAATGCTCCATCGCATGCACTGAAGTACTCCATTGCTTGGCTAGCCAGTAAAGGTCTTAAAGATGAAATAATGACATGGCCCCCTTCCTCACCTGACCTAAACCCTATTGAGAACTTGTGGACCCTTCTTAAACATGAGATTTATGGTGAAGGAAAACAGTACACTTCTCTGAATGGTGTCTGGGAGGCTGTGGTTGCTACTGCACAAAAGTTGATTGTCAACAGATCAAGAAACTAACAGACTCCATGAACAGAAGGCTTATGACTGTTATTGAAAAGAAGGGTGGCTATATTGGTCACAGATTTTTTTGTTTTTGAAATACCAGAAATATTTATTTGTACATTTTGAGTTATTATTCTCACTTTAAAAGTTGCAAATAAATGAGATGGGCAAATTTTCATTTAGTTGTATAATTTTCCACACTAATAGTTGCCCAATAATTGTACAAAAAGCCAAAACTTCACTTTTACTTTTTTAAATATTCATGTTTGAGGTTTATTAACTTTTTGGATTGACTGAGAGCACTGTAGTTGTTCAATAAAAAAAATTAATCCTCCAAAATACAACCTGCCTAATAATTGTGTCCAGACAAAGAAAAGAATTGTTTTAATCTACAGACCCTAAATTTATATTTTAAAATACTTTTTAGGTTATAATAAACCCAGTGCTAGTGGTCATTTTAGGTATTGGAAATCAGTGGAACAATATTTTTATATTTGCATTAGCTGACATAATTGCTGCTGCCATTCTCCACTATAAAATGGACATGCCTTTACATACTGCCAGCAAAAAGCAAATCTTTAGGACCTACATCCATTCCTTTCTAATGAGGAATCAGCTTTAGTGGCATTGGAGGTAATGTTGCCGGGATGAAAAAAAAAAAAAAGCAATCGGGTCAGCAGCTTTGAACTACCATTCGTTTTGTGGATGTTGATGTTACACACATGTGCAAAGAGTAGGGCTTCAATTGTTTTGCTACAACTGCAACCTAGACTCTTTAACTCCCAATGAACACTGCTGATTATATTCTGTATTTCATGAATCCAAAGATCATGAACTTGCAAGTTTTTAGTATTTAATTCAACATAACAATGTTTTTAATGTATTTCTCATAAACCATATTAACAAAAAGCAAACATGAACCGACACCAAAGACAAGCCAAAATCACGTATGGTAAAATAGATATCCTCTCCATTGTATTTTATCATAAAAGAGTTGATATGTATTCCTTAACAGAACTGGCTTTCTACTCAAAGCTTAAGTCCAACTTTATTAGCAAAATAAATAGAAAAAAGCTGTTTATGTACAAATAAAAGTGTAACAAAGGCTTCAACACAATAACCAGGAATTACATGAATGGAAAAACAAATGTGATTTTTTATTCCAGTCATTCTTGTTACTTTTCCACATTTTAGCCCTTTCCAGTTTTTTGCACATCCATTTTATCAAGGCATAGAATAATAGAGCCCGAAACATTTATAATCCTAAGGATGTCAAAACATCTAGCACAGCCAAGAACATCACAAATATCACTGCCATGAAAATTAGGTTTGCAAGTTTGGCCAGTGTATCAAATTCTATGAGAAAAAAACTCATTACTATACTATACAAAAAGACCAACATGAAGTACATAATGTTCTATGTCCAAACAATGTTTGTATAAAGAATCTTTCCTCAGGGCAAAAAGAGGTGAGATTATTATTGGGTAAAGTGGCATTCTCTTACACTGTAATTTTTTTCTTACGTTAGATGCTCTATTGGTTTTGCAATTCCCCAATCTAAGGCACATGAAAGTTGGTTTTAGTATAAAACACATTATCCATCCATAAACTATTTGGTAACAGTGGAAAGCCTTTGAACCTGCTACGGCATATGTATTGCTTGAATATGCAGTGCTGAATGGTTAAACAATCAACTGAATTCACACATCGTTTTATATACCATAATGAGCGCCATCTCTTATACTTATTAATCACATTTCTACGCTGTTGTGATTAAGAGATGTTCAGTGGTTTACATAAAGCATCTAGGCAGAAATAAGCAACTACAAAAATAATTTAAAAATACAACATAAAGTACAAATAAACATAGAAACATTAACATTAGGAGCTTTCTAAAACAATTCAGTCTTCAAAATTCTCCAAAGGACTAATAAAAGAATCTGATCTTCTCACAGATGTACCACAATATTGACACTATTAGAGATCATTTCACCACACTCCCCCAAACATCTCAAAATGCAGGATTCACAGCAGTTTCTCTTTTGTGTAAGTTACTGATGGGAGTAGGTTGTCCTGAAGGTATCCAGATACCAACCCATAAGGGTCTTCATTGATCAGTAAAACTACCTTAAGTTGGACCTGGAAATCAACTGGAATCAATGTGAAGTCCACCAAATGTAATGATGTATGCCACTGCATTTTGGACCAATGATTTTTTCCAAGTACTTTTAAAGGGTAGCACCAAGTAGAGTGCATTACAAGTAGTCTAACTGGGTGGTGATAAGGGAGTTTTACTACTACCAGGTCATCTGGTCCGAGGTGATGCTGCAACAGCCAAAGCCATGACCAATCCATTGGCCATGGATTCCACTTATTGATTCAGATATGCTTAGGTTTGCAAGTTTCTCTTGGCTCACACTTGTCCCAAATATTACTCATGAGTACTAAGATTGAGTTCATGAAAAAGCTAAGTGGCCATGTAACCCATTTGTTAAAATATCTGTATACAGATGTGTTAGGGAGGAAAATGGCATAGCAAAGACGTTACTTTTAATAATAGTACTAGAAGAGAGCTTTTCCTTTTGAAGGAATAATAAAAGTTGCATTGGTTAAAGTTGGTCCTTCTTTACAAATCCTGTTCATAGTAAGGATGGAAGTTGGTTATTTGAGAAATATTGAACAACAAGTTGCTTTTTATTTGGTTTGGGTATTACTTAGTTATTGGACCAATTATAATAAGCCAGCTGTGTGACTTTGGCCAGTCATTCTCTCTCAGGCTAAATCACCTCACAGGACAGTTGTTGTGGGGAAAATAGGAGGATGGAGGTGTTTTAGGTATGTTGGTTTTATTATTTATAAAAATAATAAAGGTGGCATAAAAAAAACCTCCCAAATTAACCCTGTATTGTTGAAAATCCTGAATATAATTTAACGTAGTATAATTTCTGTCTAGGTATTTTCTAGTAGCACTAGAAGGCTGAAGACTTCCAAAATATTTGAATGAATGTTTTTTTCTTTTATATTCTGTATGGTAGCTATCTGTTAAAATCCTAATTTTACTAAATTCAGGCTACTACAGCCATGTGTTATAGTTTCATAACACTAATATTTCTTAACTTTTCAAATAAAATAATGTTGCTAAAATTGCAATTTATGGATATTGACTTCGACTTGGCCACCCAAATTCATTAATATACTCTAAGCAAACAGGCTTTTGACTGGTATGTTAATTTCTTACTGGCACCATGTTGTCCATTTGTTAAGCTATATCTGATTTTATTGCACTGTAAGCAATAAAACTCAAGGGAGTTTATTGAATGTCAGTAGTCTTCTTTCAGTTTTTAAATAAAGTATTCTTGAGAATTTCTGTAACAGTTTGTGATACATAATCATGTAAACCCCAATAGTAGTGTTTTAATAGAACCAGGAATATATATGTGACAACCCCTCACAGAGGTTCTCTCATAGGTAGGCCATGGTGATTTAACAAAGTCTTTTCCATTATAACTCATTTGGTTATTGATCTGTTAGTTGCACTGCCTAAAATATATAGTGAATGTGAAAAATAAACCCGCAATGAAAAGGGCGAGCATTTTGGAAATCTACACAGACTGGTATAGTTTCTATTTTCACTTCAGCGTTCAGTATTAATTCAAAATATACCATGTGATGCAGAGATCTAGCCACTGTGGTTTCTTTATGACATGGTATAAAATTAAACAAGGGCAGCCTGGTAAAATATGTGAATCCAAGCTAAACAGGCTGTTTTTCATGAGTTAATAATTTATTAATTCCTAATAATGGGAGCATTTTGCTATAATTATAAAGTAATTTTGCTGAGATCTTTTGATCTTGCTTTTAAAAATACAAGATCAGGAAGTAAACGAATCCAGACAAAAGTAACATTCTTGAATATTAACTTCTTGTAGCAAGGTCAGAATGCAAACTAAGCAAACTTGTGGCCATTGCAAAAAAACATTATAAACAAGATCAAAGTTTATTTTATTTGTTGGATTTGAGTTCCATCTTTCTTCTTCCCAGTTTTCCTAAAATAAGACAACTTCCGTAGGTAGAATCCATAAAGAAATAATTAATAATAGTCAAATACGTTAGTATGAGAGAATATTTCCTGTCTGCTCAAAAAATGCAAAAAAAATCTGATGATGATATATATAGAGAGAAATAAAAGAACTTAACATACAGCTAACGTAACATTCCTATTGGCAGTATAGGGATTACTTGGAGGCATAAATTAATGAATAAAAAATAGTTCTTACTCAGTTATATTATATGCATAAAAATATGTATCTGAAACATAAACATGTATTCATATGGATTTAAAATTTGAAAATCTAAGAATTGGGATTTATTGTGGTGGTGACCAATATATGAAAGTGAAGGTTACAATTCAGCCTCATGACTATTCTGAGAGACACTGCCAATTTACCAGCAGAGCTGTCACAAACACACCCTTTTTCTAATTTTAACAGTGAGCGGCAAATTGTTCGTTTTTGCTATAACCCAAAATCATGCTGTCCGAATGTAATAGTAAACAGCACAAATGTCAGCTGAGTGACTTTGTACCTGACTTGTGCATGACAAAGGTTATACAAATGGAAGTGGGAACATTTTGCTTCCAAATCCTATCTCCACCCTCATTTTTTGCAAAAAAAAACTTGAAACATTGCACCAGCAAAAATAGGTCAACTTCAGTAGCATAATCGGTTTGTGTAAGAAAGCTGCATGCTTAACTTAGAAGTGGTGAAAATCAATCTACCTTTTAAAATTAAAACTGGAAAATTATCTAGCTTTATCCACTATACATAAAATCTTATTTTAATTCAATTTTTCTTTAGAGATAATTTGAAAATAAAGAAAACACATCCAGACCCAACCAGAGTTAGTACTGCTATTTTTAGAAAAGCTGTCTTCCATCTGCCATATTCCACCAAAGGTTGCATTCGGCAAGGATCATCATTCTGCCCATCTTGGAGCTGATAAAAATATGTTGAATAGAAGAAAAAATGTTAGAAATCTATACTAATGTATTCTAGAAAAATTAAGTTAGCCTTCTGTAAATAGACACAGATTTTATATAAATAGCAGAAAGGCAGCATTGTAATTGCATGTGCAAGCCCTAATTAATTTTGCTGTATCTGCTCACTGGCAATTCTGAATAGGAAAAGACTACTGAGTTTCCAAATTGCATGGCCGCATCCCTATTGTTTTTTCTTAGTTACCCATATTTTGCTTTTACAAATAGTCTTGTTTATTGACTTTCTCATTTAGTGACCATTCATAGATCTGTGAAGTAAAGGAAAGCTAAATATAGTAAGTTCATTCACTTAGCAATTGCTTTTCTAACGAAGTTGACAGTCCCACTTGTGACTGCTAGGACGTATTCCTATAATGGCAAATTCTAGAATACCAAATCTATTAATCCATTATTTATTAATCAAATTTGAAGACCGCCCTTCTACCTCACAAGGCGACTGTGGGCAGAGTATTATTAAAACATTAACAATCATACTGCCCGAACAAACTAATACTTAGAAATCTGTTGGTAATTATCATACGTACTCTATTCATAAAGGGATATATGTACCTTATTCATGAGCATTTTTAGTTTTACCACCTCTGCAGTCAGATCTTCAGCACTCAAAATTAGGTCTTCACACACTGTAGCAAGACTGTGTGGTGGACTCCATTCAAGAACCAACTAATAAATTAAAAAAATATCTTTACAGTTACATATGAACTGCATTCCACTGGTATAATTTCACTATTGCAAAGTTTTATTGGTTGAAAAATACACAGGAGCATACACATGTTGAGGTTTTGGATAAGCCGCTCCCATACAAGCTTCCTGCCACATCTTGGAGAGGATTTTCCATCCTCAATACAGTTCACTGAATGAGTGTGGTTTTGTGCTGATATGCAAGCAATGGCAAACGTATGGGGTATCCTCTGTTTCAGGATCTTGTAGGAGAACTGACCATTTTAAGACATATTTAAAGTAATGCATATCAAGGTGATTTTTAGATGAAATGTTGGCAAATCTCTCCACTTGAGAACAGATCTATAGCCAGATAGATTCCAACAGTGTGAAGAGTTTTAAAAATAGTTTTCAACTTACAATAACAATAGGGACTGGAATTTCCATCATGAATCCTCTAGTTTTATGACCACCTTTACAATGATTGTTATGCAAATCATGTGGTCATCATTCCTCAATGGGCATTGCAAAAAACACTGCAAATCACAATCATGTGACTGGACTCTGCAACAGGTAAAAATGCGAACAGGTGGCCAAGCAACCAAATTGCAATCATGTGACATTTTGTGACAGTTGGAAGTGCTTTACAGGCCATAAAGCCTTTCCAAGGCTGACATAACTTTGGAATACCTTAAACACTGGTCGTAGGCCAAGGACTACCTGTATTTGTGTTAGTATATTCTTATATTTTAGGAGTAATTGTAACCTTGTCAGTCATGTTGTTTTACAGGTATCACTTTCTAGTCTGGTCTGTATGATTTGTTTTGGTGTGCTGATCTCCTGGTATGTTCAATCTTGTTACTTATACACAGAGAATCTTCTGGTATGGTTGGATATGCTGATTGGTATTGTTTTACCATTGGTTTAAAACTTGACTTTCATCTTGTATGTTTATTTCACTTCTATTTGCTCTGGTACTTGGGCAATATTTTTACTGCAAGAATTGTACTCTGCTCAGGCTGAGGTATGAGTTTCACCTTACAAAAGCAAGCCTTATGTGGTGCATTCCTTCTGTGGTCAATGACAATCGTATCAGTTATTACTACTATGGCTTTAACTTTTTTTATGCCAAGTTGTGATAAGAGAAAAAGGAATAGACTAGACTAGACTAGACTAGCAGCTGGAAGGGACTTTGGAGGTCTTCTAGTCCAGCTCTCTGCTCAAGCAGGAGAATCTAAATCATTTCAGACAAGTGACTGTCTAGTCCAGGGGTAGGCAACCTTGGCTCTTTTATGACTCGTGGACTTCAACTCCCAGAATTCCTGAGCCAACATGGCTCAGCTTGGAAACCTCTCCCTTTCCCCTCAGCATGGTTGGCTCAGGAATTCTGGGAGTTGAAGTCCATGAGTCATAAAAGAGCCAAGGTTGCCTACCCCTTATCTAGTCTCTTCTTAAAAACCTCCAATGATGAAGCATCCATGATTTCTGAAGGCAAGCTGTTCCACTGGTTAATTGTCCTCACTGGGAGGAAGTTTCTCCTTAATTCCAGGTTACTTTGGTCAGTTTCCAACCATTGTTTCTTGTCCTGCCCTCTGGTGCTTTGGAGAATAATTTGATGCCCTCTTCTTTGTGGCAGCCCCTCAGATGCTGAAATATTGCTATCATGTCACCTCTGTTTTTTCTTCTTTTTAGACTAGCCAAACCCAAATCCTGCAGCTGTTCTTCATGCTTTAGTCTCCAGACCTTTGATCACTTTAGTTGTTCTTCTCTGAACTTTTTCCAAAGTTTCAACATCTTTTTTGTCATATGGTGATGTTTCCATTCTTGACTTTCATTATCATCATCATGATATAAGCAGTACAATATCCCAATATCATGCATCTGAAAATAACTTTTTACCAAGGACTTCCCCAGAACTACCAAGATCAAACAAGTTCTTCATAATGGAGAATACATCACGTCTGGTGATTTATCATGCCCTGGTACTTCAAAAGTTAAGTGGACTAGATGCTGGTCTAGTCCAAGGTGACACTAAGTGATCAATTCAATTCTTTTAGATTTTTTGCTTCTTTATGGAATCTCAAGTTGGTAAGACCCACTGTGTTCTTTTAAGCAAACTGTTAAGCTTCTCCAACAGAAAAAGAATATAGGTAATCCTCACTTACCAACCATTCATTCAGCAACTGTTAGAGGACAAAGGAGACTTACAACAGGTTTCTGAAATTCTCGCCACTCAGTACGCCCATGGCCAGGTGATTGCAATCAGTTCGCACTTAGGGTGGATGCAGCATCCCAGTCACATGATTGCCATTTGAGACCATCCCTGCTAGCTTCCTCCAAACAAAGGAAATGAGTAAGCTAGCAGGGAAGGTCAAAATTTCTCCAGTAAGTTGCTTAGATCCTTTTCTAGCCATTAGTGCTGGCCACTCATGTACTCTCCCCTCCCCAGGTAGAAACCATTCGCTCATGCCTTACCAGCCTATCTGGCACTCATTTAGTGACCTGGGATCCTTGCTTAAGTGGTAATGGGGAGTGCTGGCATTAACTGATGCAGTCAGCTGACAAAATGCTTTGGTCTGCATCATTTAGCGATGGAAATTCCAGATCCAATCACTTGGAAAAATAAATACTTTTCTGGATAGTGTCTGGCATATGTCCAAACTGACATTTTCCCTTCACATACTGTTCTTCCACAGGGCTATAAACTGTTATCATAAGTGTGCAGTTTTACTGTTCATTTAACAATATATTTTCTGATGTCACTGTCCTGGTACAAGATAACAGACTGGATCCCATTCAGTTGGGCTTCAGGCCTGCATATGGGACAGAAATAGCATTAGTTATGCTTGTGGATGATTTCTCATCCTGCTAGGACAAGCCCATCCTACTCGTGCTGGCAGAGAGGGCCTACTTTGGATCCTGTCGTTCAAAGAACTCCAACTATCAGGATCCAGAAGAAAAGTCTTCTCTACTACAGCACCCGTCCTTTGGAACATCTTACTCTCTAGGATAAAATCTACCCCCACTCTATTCTTCCACAAGAGCCTGAAGACCTGGTTCTGCTGGTTGGCCTGGGGGCCAAATGGGGGAATTCTCCACTGGAGATGGCTGCTGGATTTATGGCAGATTTCATTCCCCCCCCTTACCCTCTGCTCTCCACCCATCATCTTGTTATCATAGTGCTATATTCTCATTTTCTTTTTCATTGTTTAATTTATTCTATTATTTTACTTCTGTTGTTTACTTTTTCAATTCTTCCTTTTTATTGTTTTAAGCCATTCTAGAGTAGCCGCAAGGCAAAATAGGCAGTAAATAAATTTAGCAAATAAATAACAATAAATTTCTGGCAAGAGTAGAAAGGGGCAGTGTACCCATCCTTGTTCGCCTTGATCTCTCAATAGCTTTTGATATCATCAACCATGGTACCCTTTTGGGGCTGGGCAGCATAATATTGTGCTACTTCAGCTCCTCTCTCCAATGCCTGTCTCAATCAGTGTTAATATGGAGAGAGAAGTCCAACCCATAGCCATTCCCTTGTGGAGAATTAATTCATTTTACTTAAGTAAAGGATGATGTTCTGAAAAAAACACATTTAGATGAATATTGTACCTTATGAGCATCTGTAGGAAACTGATTAATAATATTCTGCACAGAGGTTTTAAGTTGAATGCATTGTCTTTTTAGTTTCATAAGAAAGGAAAGAAATTCATCACCACTGTAACAAAAATGTTAAACAATTATTCATTTATACTAAAACAGGTAAATTCTTTAAAATTTTAACTTTCATGACTGCAACTAGATGCAAAGGGAGTATTTACTTTCAGATAAGGAATTACTATCAAACTAATTTTTTTTAACAATAACTAGGTAGTCTTATTTATTCTCTTATTTTATGCACATGCATAATGGGTGAGGACATTGCTCACTCTAAGGTCATGTGAGAATGAATATCCTCAGCTCTGACAAATGAATGAGTTACAGTGAGGATAAAAAGTATTTAATCTCCTGCTGATTTTGTACATTTGCCCCCTGACAAAGAAATGATCAGTCTATAATTTTAATGGTAGGTTTATTTTAACAATGAGAGACAGAGTAACAAAAAAATTCAGACAGCTCTTTGATCTTGGCCATGGTGGAGAGTTTACAATCTGATTTATTGCTTCTTTTATACATATAACAGGCTGAGATAAGGAGCACTCCCTTTAAGAGAGTGCTCCTAATCTCAGCTTCTTACCTATATAAAAGACACCTGGGAGCCAGAAATCTTGCTGATTTGATACTTATTTCACTCATTAAAATGCAAATCAAATTATAACTTTTTTAAAATGTGTGTTTTTGGATTTTTTTGTTGTTATTCTGTCTCTGTTAAAATAAACCTACCATTAAAATTATAGACTGATCATTTCTTTGTCAGTGGGCAAATGTACAAAATCAGCAGGGGATTAAATACTTTTTTCCCTCACTGTAATATAAAAAACTTAACTGCAAACTCAGAAAGTTTCCAGGGAGTAGATATTTAGTTTGCTACAAAAGAAAAAGCTAAATAAAAATAAATTGATTTATAATGGCATAAGCTTTAGTATTTCATACTAGATCTTTGCAAAATAATAATTTGACTATTAAATATGAGATCTTTATTACTATTTTTATTTAAATAAATGGTTCATCTTTCTTTTTATCACTATTTTTACCTGAATTCCAAATCTGTCACTGCAGACAGTTCTTCCAACTTTACTTCTTCTATATGTAGTTCTTTAAAAGCATCTAAAATTTTTTGTTGATCTCTGGTATTCTTGATGCCAATCTAAAAATTTAAAAACATTTCTAAGGAGTTTTAAACATTCAAGTCCTTCAGATATTAATTATGCATTGGGAACTCTGCACTTGACGTAATTTTGTTATCAAGGTAAGAATAAAATAAAAAACTACACATCTGAGCAAACAGTACATTTCTGTTTTATAATGAATTTTAATCAATAGATACAAATTTTAATACTTCCCTAAGTGACATAAGACTCAACAAAAAATGCAATACAAAACAATAGATATTTCTTTTGACAAAAAAAATTAAAAAAATTATTTGTTTCTCGACAAAGACGGGATGCAAAAAGGTATGGTACATTTATTTTGAATCATATTTAAAAATAACAATTCTTCTGGTCAATAAAAATGATACTTTTAAAATCTCCAAGATGTGAATAAGGTAAGGTGTCAACATCCAACTTGAGAATCTAAATAACACTCAAGATTAAATCTGTTTGTGAAAATCTTCTGGTTTACTGAATACACTCCGTGATTATGTTGAAGTAAAATTAACTCTGAGGTTCCCACACCAATTCACAGACTTAAACTGTCAGAACCCATTTCTTTGTTAGGGAGGGGGTGGTTCTGTTCCTTTCGGCTTCTTTCTGTGGGTTCTGTCATTCTCTTGGGGGGAGGGGGGAGGCTCCAGGGAACACATATTTTCTCCTTTTTGCTTAGCCACAATGTATCCTCTCTGCCTTTTCTATCTGCTTGTTCTTTGAACTGTTCCCCCTTGATGTCAACCTGGGGTGAGAAAGGACATCTGGCTTATCTCTCACTGCGGAAGAGAAAGATGCGAAGACCCAAGAACATCTTCACAAGCATGTTACAGACTCCGTTATCAGCTCTGTTCCCAAAACAGACCTAACACCTAGGGATTGGCTCATTTGAACTGTCCAGGTAAACTGTTGGGGTGGGGTTTGCTTGATGTTCTTTTAATCTATTGATTTGAGCGGAAAATCCTCAGATCCTGCCTTCTATGCCTGCTTTCTTGGGATGAGGTTTTGAAGCGGGTCCTTCATAAACAATAGTTTTCCCAGTCAAATCCCCAATGTCTTACATAATCCACATCAACAAGTTCACTTTGTTATGGGAACCATCTGCTTCAAATCCACACCCGTTCTGGTGTCCTTGACAAGGCTTCAGGCTCCCACGGTCTGTAACTGACTTGAAAAAGTTTTGTTTCTCCATCTACCCACTTGAGAGTAACACCTCTCCCCTTTATCTAAAGACAAGTTGAAACGCAGACACATAGCCACCAGAGTTTGATGCTTGACATAAGGTAAATAAGAACCTATCAGTTTTGCACAAAATAATGCTGATGCAACACAGCACATTTTATACATTTCATTTCCTTGCTTATATATGTATTGTCATGCTTCCAATAGATGAAAACCATTTAAAAGAACTTCAAGGCAGGCATTTCTTCCTTAAAGAATATTTTTATTTGGTTACAACATAACGGCACATACAAAGGTGAATCCAAGACTAATTTCCCCTCCCTTGGTTACAAAGTTGCAAGTTTCATTTCCCACCCCAAATTGCTGTCATAAATCACATTCATCAATTGTTTGAAATGCAGGAACTCCTCCCAGCTGCTCCAGCCCGCCAAAATGTTATCAACAATGGCCTTGGTTCCCATACATGTGAAATGTTTGGGCTAACTGAAAACTTCTTCTAACTAAATATGTAGCAATGAAGACAAAATGAAAATGACTTCAGTTCGGTTTGTCACAGCATTGACATTCAGCTCCCCTTAAAAGGAGAAATCCCGCAAATCAAACAAGAATAACAGTTAAGAATCCCCTCTCGGTTTACTTTGATGTTTATCATAGAATTTGTAAATCAGTCTGTCAGCTTTCACTTCAATACTTTTCACCCAGGTGGCTTCTGATAACGGATATCCCTTCCGCTGCACTAAATATTGCAATTTTCCCTTGTATAATCTAGCATCAAGGATACGCTTTACTCATTTACATAATGAGTCTCTCCAGCCACAAGTGGGCTAGGTGCTTTTTTAGGAGGGAGTCTTAGAGTTGATTTTCTGAAAGGTTTTAACAGACTGCAGTGGAACATTGGGTGGATCTTTCCTAAAAGACGAGGGAGTTTTAATTCCACAGTGACTGGGTTTATGATTCGCACTATAGGAAATGGTCCTAAATATTTTGCTTCTAATTTTTTGCTAGGTAATTTTAGTCTTAAATACTTTGTAGAAAGATAAACCTTTTCTCCCACACGGAAAGTTTTCTGAGGTGCTCTTTTCTTATCTGCTTGCTTTTTGTAAATTTCTGAGGCTTTTGTCAAAGCTTTGTGTTGTCCCAAACACCCCTCCAAGCAGATACCCACTGATCTAATGTTTGAGAAGTAGAGGGTTCCTAGGGGTATTCAGACATCAGAATAAAATCCCTTCCAGTGACTATCTTAAATAGTGTAAGTCCGGTGTTGCTGTGTACAGTATTGTTATAAGCCACTTCAGTGAAAGGGAGAGCAGTCCAATTTGTCTGCTGGTAATCCACATAGTACCTAAGATATTGCTCCACCATTGCATTTGCTTTTTCAGCCGCCCCATTTGTGGAGGAATGAAAAGCCAATGACAGTCCTTGTGTAAAACTAATCAGTTTGAGGAAATTTCTCCAGAATCTGGCCGTAAATTGAACTCCCCTGTCAGAAATTATCCGTTTTGGCGAACCGTGTAGCTGGTAAATATGCCTGAGAAACAATTTGGATAGTTTCTGGGCAGAGGGGAGGCCTGAGCATGCTATGAAGTGAGCTTGCTTTGAAAAGAGATCAATCACAGTCCATATTACTGTATTTCCTCTACTCTCCAGTAATTCAACAATAAAATCCATAGCAATCTCTTCCCATGGCTGAGAAGGATCTGCAACAGGCTGTAATAGCCCAGGAGGCTTTCCTGGGATCCTCTTCATGGTAGCACAGACTGCACAACTTTTTACATAGTTCTCCACATCTTTCTTTAAGCCTGGCCACCAAAATTGCCTTTGAATTAAACGTAGTGTCTTTAAATAACCAATGTGACCAGCTTGCTTAACGTCATGGCTGCGTTGGAGCGCTTGAAGCCTGAGTGGTTCAGGCAAATATAATTTCCCCCCTTTCCAAGCCAATCTATCCCTATGAATCAAGATGGTTTGATTCTCCTTGAACTATTGATCATTTTTTAGTTCTTGTTTTAATTTCTCTATTAATGGGTCACTTGGATTAGGTGACCTCACATGTTGTTGCTTTCTAGGGTTTATCTGAGAAATAATTTGTGATGGTGGCATAATAGGGTTTATAATTTGTTCACGTTGGCTTTTATATTGGGGTAACCTAGAGAGGGCATTAGCCCCCCCCCCAATTTTCCACTCCGGTATATATTTCAGAGTAAAGTTAAAACGGTTAAAATATTGCACCCAGCGAACTTGTTTGGGAAAGAGTTTGCGGGGAGTTTTCAGTGCTTTAAAGTTCTTGTGATCAGTCCAAACCTCAAAAGGCACCTTGTTCCCCTCTAGAAAATGATGCCAAGTCAATAAAGCCCATTGGATTGCAAAAACCTTTCTCCCAGACAGCCCATCTTCGTTCTGTGTCAGTGAGGTTTTTTTTGAAGTGTAAGCGCAGGGTTGTAATTCTCCTTTCGGGTTTTTTTGTAATAGGACTGCCCCCACAACCACATCACTGTGGCTGATAAACTTCAATGATAAACTGCTCTTCAGGATGAGGGTGTTTGAGAACTGGTTCAGTGGCAAACAGTCGCTTTAAGTTCTCAAAAGCAGTCTGTCATGTCCCCCATCGGAGCCTGAATCTGCTGAGGAAAATTAGCTGGAACTGGAGCCGACAGAGGATGAGGGAGAGGTGTCTGTGGGGAAGAGGAATGTGGGAAAGAGCAGGCTGAGGCAGGCTAGGGCCTTTCAGGATTGGGACAGGATGAACATGAGAGACAGAACTCAGATGATAAACAAGGGCCACCCCCTCCTGATCCTAGAGTACGGAGAATGGAGAGAAGAAGGGAACAAAGCAGGAGGCTAAACTACTTGGGAGGAGAGCGGCCCGCCCCTCTCCACAAGGCACACCTGGAGATTGAGACTTAAGGAGACACTGAGGGGAGGGGCATTTGTCGGGAACAAACACTGAAGTCTTGAAGGTTTAAGTGCCGTTGCTGATCTTGGAAACAACTCTCTGATCTCTTGTTCTGTGTTGTGATTTCTACTTGGAAACCCTGAAACTCTGACCATTCGATTGGCTGACAAACTTGATTTGGTGTTCAAAGGCCCCGGATTGAATTTTGGATTCTCTTCTGAAACTGCTCAGGCAAGTTTGTATTTCCACAGACTCATTAGATTTTGGATGTATGTTTCTTTCCTTGTTATCTACGTGGCCTTGAGTAAATTACACTTGTAATCTAACTATGTGTGAGTTGAAACCAGCTTGTTCCATACACATACTTTTCCTGCCTGAAGAGTTAAAAACTTGTGAAACTACTTGTCAGAGGCTGCTGAAGGTGTGTGTGTCTTACTTTGTTCTGCGGCTTCTAGAAATGTGGTAACATTTGGGGAAAATTTGGAGCAAATAAAGGGTGGTTTGAACTGCCAGTTGACTGTTTTGCCTCTGTGCCGTGCCCTGGGCCATCACACTCTGGCACTCTAACAACCAGCGTAGGGGTTTGCCTGGTCGTGGTTTACCCCCATCTTTGCCAGTTTTTAACAGTTCAGTGATGGGCAAAGCAATCTCAGCAAATGAGGGGATAAATTGGTGATAGAAATTAACAAATCCTAGAAAGCTCTGAAGTTATTTTCAAGTTCATGGAGGCTGCCATTCGATTACAGCTTTCACTTTAACTGGGTCCATCTCTATTTCTTTGCTGCATATTCTGTAACCCAGATAATCCAAATGTGCCTGATGGAATTTGCATTGGAAGTTTTGCATAAAGTTTTGTGTTCAGCAGTTTTTTGAGCACTTCTCATACTAAAATCATATGTTCTGCCACAGTCTCTGTATAGATTTAGATGTCATCAAGATAAACCAAAACCCCTTTATACAAATGATCGTGCAGCACCTGGTTGATCAGCTGCATGAATACAGTAGAAGCTCCTTGTAATCCAAAAGGCATGACTTTAAACTGATAACTTCCCAGGGGGCTGTTAAAGGCAGTTTTCCATTCATCCCCTTCTTATTCTCACGCGATAATATGCCTTTTTAAGGTCTAATTTGGTAAATACTCACCCTTTCGCCAGGGGCTGCTACGGGTTGTTACCGATCTAAGAGAGCCTGTAGGAATCCATACTGTTGCAATTGATCCTGTGGGAGTCCTGCTGCTTGATTAGCTCTTGGCAGGGTTCCTGGACTGGTATGGCACCGGTGACGTTCAGGGCTGAGTCGCAGGGGTGCCACTTGGGACTAAGTCTGTAATGATGATGGTCTGGCCTGGGCTGGTACCGATATCATTCTGGACTAGCCTGACGTGGATATCTATTAGGGCTATCTGGGTATTGGCGGCGATCAGGCTTGCTCTATGCCGATAACATTCAGGGCTGATCTGGCGTGGATATCGGTCAGGGCTCACATAGCATCGGTACCGATCGAGGCTGACATACCGCTGTTGATGATCACGACTAGCATAGTGTTGACGGCAATCAGGGCTGGCCGTCCGCCGCTGATGATCAGGGATATCACGCCGCTGACGGTGGTCTGGCCTTTGCCTCCACACTGGACTCGAAGTTAAAACTGATGGCTTTGGTTGTAGGGAGGCAGCTTGGGCCCCAGCTAAGGGACTGGGACTTCGCCTGGATTCTGGACGGTCTAGGGGACATCTGTCATCCCGTTTACTGGAAAGTAACTGACGGGTGACCTGCTCCTTTCCTCCCACCTCCAGTTTTTCAAACTTCTCTCTTAACCGCTCAATGGATTGGCTTCGGATCGCAGTCAGATATTTCCATTCACCCGATTCATCCCAAGGTGTTGTGATTCCTCACCAGCCAGTAGATCCGACAGCTGAGTCCAAGGAAGATGAAGAGGAGAGGCATGGAGTGACATTAGAGTCAGAGGAAGGCTCTGAGGAGCTCCAAGACTTACAGTCGGACAAGGAGCCTGGCCCCTCTACTTGCGCTCAGGCTGAGACACAGCTGTGCTGGGAGCCTGAGTTACACAATGATGAAGAACAAAGTTGGGACAAATCCAGGATGCACGAAATTGTAGCCAAGAGAAGCAAGTAGGAGAAGAGGAATGCAATGGGGGGGGCTCCAAAGGCAAAGAAGGCATTAGGAAGCCACGCCTTGGCTGAATTATAAAAGGGAAGATGTGGGAGGTGCTGGTTGCCAAAGGCAACCGTTTGTGTTGAGGATCGAGTGTCTGTGGACTGTGTTTGTTTGCCTTGGACACTGACTCAGGTCTGTGAGAATAAAGGGATTGGTTTTTTTCTTACAGTTCCTGCCTGTTTCTTGGAAGAGGGGTTTCTCCTTGTGAGCATAACAAGGACTCACATAGGCTGGGACAGAACACAAGGTGCCAGTCGCTTGGCCCCTCTTCAATCAGGAGAGCGTGGTTCATGGGAAGCAATTAGTGGAAATTCAGCTTCCACGGCCTTTATTAAACTTCTCTTTGCTTGGGCTGCCTGTGCACGCCAAGTGTCACCAATAGATAGGATTCCCTCTGACAACAATAATGGCTCCAATTGGATCTCACGTTCCTTTGGTCTCGCGCCCATTGCCCGAGTCACAGAAGTCACACTCTCTATCAGGACAATGGTCTGCATCCTATCCGCTGATGTAGTTGCTATAGCTTCGAGGCTAGTAATAGGCTCTTCCTTTTTCTCAATCATGGAATCTTCCCTGAGTCTTTGTTTTCCTCCCAAGGCTTCGGGTAGGCAACCGGAGCTCAGGACCCCATGGTATTAAAATAGTTTGGAGTCTTGGGTTAATGTCATGGTTCCCATAGATGAGACCATTTAAAAGAACTTCAAGGCAAGCATTTCTTCCTTAAAGAACATTTTGATTTGGCTACAACATAACAGCACATGCAATGGTGAACCAAAGACTAAATTCCCCTCCCCTTGATTACAAAGTTGCAAGTTTCATTTCCCATCCCAAATTGCTGTCATAAATCACATTCACCAATTGTCTGAAAATGTAGGCACTCCTCTCAGCTGCTCCAGCCCGCCAAAATGTTATCAGCAATGACCTTGGTTCTCATACATGTGAAATGTTTTGGCTAACTGAAAATTACACATCCCCCTCCTTCTTCTAATTAAATATGTGGCAACAAAGACAAAATGAAAATGGCTTCAGTTCAGTTTGTCACAACATTGACATATATATTAACTTAATGAAGATTCTCCATTTTACTCACATTACCAATCATTTCAACTGAGAATTGCAAAACATCTTGTACTGATAGTTACAAATATCAACAGACCCTTTGTATAACAATAATTCCTATTAAAGCATATGTCCAGCCTAACCTTTTTTTTGAAAAAAAAAAAGAGAGATTCAAATCAGTTAAACAGAAGATACTACTTTTCTCAAAATAAAATGCAAATCATGTTGAAAATTGTTATGAAGTGAAAAAAATACAGAATTAAAATTTAAAAGAGCAGTATTGTTGTTGTCATAAGAGCAAATATACAATAAATGAATAGGCTAACCTGTATTAAGTCTTCTTTTCCCATTGTCAAAAGCTGTCTTAAAGGTATTTCTCTCTCCTATAAGAGATGAAAGTATATTCCTAGAGATACTTTGGGCCAAGATCCTATTATGTAGGGCAGTAACCCACTTTATTATTAAATTTCAATTATTTTCACAATGAACACAGAAAACAAGCTCAGAAGACATTTTTAATTTGCATTAGACAATATTGGGTCATCATTTCAGAAATATTTCCTCATCTAAACAGAGAAACAGAATGAGCACAGGTGGACAAAAAAACAGTGGCAACAACTTCCAACTTCCTGCCAGCTTCCCCATGAGTTTTCTTGTGGGAAGCTCGCAGGGAGAATCTTTCCTTGAACATAGAAAAGAAGCTACTTTTAATTTACATCTGTCAGAATATTATGAACAGTTAATCACATGAATGGTTGAACTTCTGGATTAAACCTAAGCAGTGACATTTTGAATTGTACAGTAATATATTACTATGAAACTTCAATTTAGTGGGCCTGATAAAAAATAATACAAACTACAAAAAATAAGAGAGTCCACTACTGGGGTATCCACTGCACCTAAAGCAATCAATAGGTATGGCATTTAAAATAAGGAAGCACAATTATTTATATCTTGTACATTATCACATTAAACAAATGACATTATTTATTTTGTATCCCACCTTTTTTATTTACAAATAACTCAAGGTGGTAAACATATCCAACACATCTTCCTCCTTCTAATTTCTCCATAACAACCCTGTAAGAGATTGTCCCAACTCACTCAGCTGGTTTTCATGGCTAAGGCAATCTTAAACTCAGTCTCCTGCTTTCTAGTATGATGCCTTAACTACTAGACTAAACTGTGTTTCTTTCATATCAATATAATTATTAAATATTACAAATGATGCAAATTCTCACACCAATTACGCAGCTCATGTTATTATATAATGGCAATAAATTATCCCCACCCTGAATAATCCATTTGAGATTTCACTGCACCCATATGTTTTCAATAAAGAAATCTTACCTTCAGTAATTCTGTTATGTGTTCAAGTTCAAGACCATGTAGAAAGACTTCCATGTCACTAAAAGCTGCATAGGAACTTTTCACATGCATTGATTCAATTATTTTTTTTTAATATATAAATAATTTTAATAAATGTTTTAAACCAAAATTAAATTATTTGTTTCAAAGAAAGACATGCTATTATTAATCCATTTTACAGATACTAAAATATATTTGTCTACATTTTAAATACACAGAAAGACAAAAAAGCCCTAAATATTGGGCTGTAAAATTTGAAAGTACATACTTGTTCTGAAATACTGGATCTAGTTCAAATCTGATTCTACATAAAATTATGTTGGAATTTAAAAATTCATGCTCTGTAATATCTGTATTAATTTCTTCCAAAAGTAAAAAAGAATTTGATGCATGTCAGGTAAATTATTACACGGTATATTAGAAAACAATTGATGATTATATTCCATATAATCCAGCATTAAGGTATGCATAGATCAGGCATGTCAAACTGCCGGCCCGCAGGCCGGACGCGTCATCCTAAAACCACGCCCACCCCATTGCCAGCAATGGAGAAAAAGCTCCGATACGTCGCGCAACATCACGTGACGTTGCGAGTTTGACATGCCTGGCATAGATCCTTAATTTCCAAAAACTCTATATCAATTTAAACATCCAAGCGCAAACTAGCAGTGCAAAACTGTAACTCATAGGACTTTTGATAGAAGATCTGAACAATTGTCCATTTCAGGCCTAACAGCAGTTTTTCTACTCTAGAACAAAGATTTAAATTAGAACACAACTTGCAAAACATAAGTATTGAAGTCTGAGGTACTACCTGCTTTTATGGCTTTTAAGGGCATCTGGAACTGTAGTTATAAATCTGTGAATAGGTTCTTCTTTAGTCAGGTTCTGGAACTTTCTTTGGAAAGGACTTGCCGTCAAAGAAAGTAAACTGAAAAGCTACAAAAAAATCACAGGAAACCATTTTCACCATTTTTATACCTGTAGCAATATGTTCATTCTAAAACAAAAGAAATTGGGAATTCACTGAAACAGTGAAAATGAGTTTCTAATACAAAAATTTCTGCTAATTTATCTTTTCAATAAAATTATCTGAAATTATATCTCAATTCTCAATTCCAACATGTTAAATTAAAAGATTTATTGAACTGATAAACTATCAGGAAAACCATGCTTATTATGGGAAACATTAAAAATGGTTTCTTTAGGTATATATGAATATACAGGTTAACCCTATGTAATGAATTTCAGTAAATTTAGCCTGTGAAAACAAAATATTTTGAGATGCTTGGAAGCATTATTTCAGAGAAAACAGAACTATAGAAACGTTTATGGCAACCCAACCTAAGCATTTTTAAATGTCTTGCATGTTCTTTTGAAAAATAGGATATAAACTATTTAATGGGAATATTAAGTACTTTGTATTCCATATAAAGAAACAGAATGCAGATACTTAAAACACTTATTGGAAATAAAGTAGCAAGTTTGGAGCAGCAGTTAAAGTACCAGCTAGAAATTAGATAGCTGAAATTAGATAGACCAGTCAGTCTCTCAGCAAGAGAGGAAGCCAATGGCAAGCACTTCTGAAAATGTTTATGGAGACTGTCAGTCATCCAGGTCATGTTTGTCCCAAAGGTGCTTTTTTTCAAAAAACAACTGGACTTGTCTTTCCTTGAAGACGTTTTTGCTTCTCATCCAATAAGCTTCTTCAGTTTTGACTGAATGGTGGAGAATGGAAGGATTTATATTCCTTGCAGTCATTTGATTGTTAGCACTTTCACTAGTAGGTTTATTTGTGCCATCAGGGTCACCTGAATAATGGAGATGGGTGCGGAACTTTCTTGGAACTGCTGATAGGACTGTGTTGTAAACATGACATAGGTGGTATCGTATTCCTCCCCCCCCTCTTGAGAAAGAACTGTTCAATCTTAATGTAGCTAGCCTCTGACCCCTTTCAAACCAGCAGTGCTCTTTATCCAGAATGTGGATTTGGCTGTCTTCAAAACAGTGACCTTTGTCTTTTAAATGAAGATGGACAGCTGAATCTTGTCCTGATGGGTTTCTTCTATGTAGTGCTATGCATTTGTTTTTCCAATGTATAGATCTATGCATGTATCTATACATGTATTGTACTGCATATATCACATTGCTCAGTAGCTCCCAACCTTTTCTATACCCCGCACTTCTAGAACTTCTTGTGCCATATCCGTTATCGGACATTGGTGATCATGTTGGTGATCCTGTTTTTATCAGCAGCTGCACAAAAAAGTGCTACTGAGTTTTGTCCAAACCAGTCCCTTAGATTTTGAGGCCATGATGTTCTTCTTCTGTCTGGACCTCGTTTGCCTTCAATCTTTCCCTGGAGGATTAAATGGAGTGTGCCGTATTTTTCTAGGTGTCGCATCACATGTCTGAAATATTCTAACTTTTGTTTTTTAATTGTTTTGATGATTTCCCTTGGCTTTCCCAGGCGGCTTATCACCTCCTCATTTCTGATCTTGTCAACCCAGCTTATATATAACAGCTGCCTGTAAATCCACATTTCAAATGCTTCTAGTCTCTTCAGGTGGCCTTCTGTCAGAGACCAACTCTCTACTCCATAGAGCAGGACAGAAAAATTATTTCCAGAGTTAAAGTCTCAAAATAATCACAGATATAATCTCCCTGGTCAGCTCTGTCTGCTTTAAATTTTACTCACAAGTTCATTTTGAAAGCAGATGTGTAAGCAGCGTCTAGCTTTGCCCCCCCCCCCAAAAAAAAATTAGAGCAAAGGCATCCTGGAATGTGGAGAACACCTCAGACTCCATGGGAGCTCTCAACCCTCCAACCACCAAAGAAAAAAAACTTTGGGGTCTCTCAGGGAGCCCTGCCACTATCCGAGGGAAACTCATCTCCTCCCCTTTGCCCAGGGAGAGAGATTCCAAGCCGCGAGACGGCTGTTGCTCGCTGTCTCAGCTGGCTTTGACACATTCCAGGGCGGACGGCTGAGAACATCCGCCATCAGCGCCGCCGTCACAGGAAGCCCCCTTTCAACTTTTTCTAATGGTATTCCTTCTGAATTTACTGGTGGTAAATTAACGGGTTGTGTGCTGATGACCATGATCTTGGTTTTTGAGCTTCAAGCCGTATTTTCCAGATATTTTTCAGCTTCTGATATATTCTCGCACCCGTTACGAATTATGCATATACATTATAATTTTGAAAACCCGAGTTTTCGCACCCCTTGGAATAATTATCTCACACCCCCAGGGGGTGCAAGCATCCCCGGTTGGGAACACCTGGTCTAGGTATTTTATCCTTGTGGTGGGCAAGCTTCTGCCTTAGTGTACTTTGGGTTTAAAGTGTGCATGTATATTGTGTTGGATGAAAATCTTCCTGAGCTTTTTTAGATATTCCTTCAATGTATGGAATAACAATGTTGCTTTGTTTGTTGTTCTCTTCTTTGTCTGCTCCTGCTGGGTCTTTTTTTGGATTTGAAAAAAACACCTTTGGGACACTTCTGAAAATGTTGTCAAAAAACCAGCAGAGACTTGTCCAGATAGTCACTTGAACCCAATAACTTGAAAATACACACACAAAAAGGGAATACACCAGTAAATTGAATCTATAGTTTTTCCCCAGTAAAAGAAAATAGATCTATATGAGTATTTAAAAAAAAAATTCATTTGATAAACTGTCGATTACCTATTGTATCTATTAAACCATCTTTGCCTTTCTTGTCCAAATCCCTTAATTATACCTTATTTTTAATAGAACAATTCCCTAATAAAATGTCAAATGTGTACAGTTTATTTTCAGACATAATTAATTCTTGCATTTTTTATCTTTTCATACTAAGTTGATTGTTCTGGTTTTCTGTTCTGCTTTAATTAGTATTTTAATGGAAAGGGGCGTTGTCTTACCTGAATGCCTTTTCTCAGCACGGAGATGGAGAATTCACCAATGGGTTTGCTCTGTCTTCCTGCCCTTGAGACCAAGTCAGCCAAACTTGTCACGCCCCCTGCTGGGCTAGGAGAACCCAATCTTGATGAGAGCGAAAGCAGCTGACGACAGTCCGAAGGTGTTGGCTCTCAGACCCCTAACCTTGGCCTTACGTACCCTAAGAGGTGGGAGTGGATTCTCCATCTCCGTGCTGAGAAAAGGCGGTGCTGAGAAAAGGCGTTTAACTAAGACAACACCCCTTCTCCAGCACAGGAGATGGAGAATCCACCAATGGGACATACCAAAGACTCACTGTCCCAATTGGAGGGAAACAGACAAGGCCGGGTCCACATCCCCAGACACCACCTGCTGAAGGACCCTCCAACCAAAGGAGGCGTCCGCGGAAGCAAAGCAGTCTATTTTATAATGTCTAACAAATGGGGAAGGCGAAGACCATGTCATGGCCCTACAAATCTCTTCAATGGACGCCTGAGTGGCCCATGCCACAGAGGTCGCAGTGCTGTGAGTGGAATGAGCCGTGACATGACTTGGAGCTGGCAGGGAAAACGACTGGTATGCCTCCGCAATGCAAGCCCTGATCCACCTGCCTATAGTGGAGGCAGACACCTTCTATCCCAGAGAAGCAGGGTGAAAAGAAACGAAGAGGACCTCGAACCTGCAAAAGGACACCATTTGCTTGATGTATTAGCGTAATGCCCTGCGGATGTCCAGCGTGTGCCACTGCCGCTCCAAGTCATGGGAAGGATTAGGACAAAAATCCGGCAAAACAATCTCCTGGGCCCTATGAAAAAGAGAGCTGACCTTGGGCACGAATGTGGGATCCAATCGAAGGACCACCCAGTCCTGGTGGAAGATACAGAGGTCATCCCTGATTGATAGTGCAGCCAGCTCATCATGGAAACTAGTTTGGCACAGAAAAAAAGCCAGATTTAGATTTAAAAATGTGATTTAAAATCTCATTTATTGGGTCAAAAAGGCTTTAGAGATCCGGATTGATTTGACAATTAATTGAGTATGTGAAATTAGTAAGATGATAATTTGTGTAATGATATGTTTATTTTAGACATGATAATTATTTTGGTTGAGATTTAAACTTTATTTAATGGGTTGAAATGTTTCTTTATTTTTTATTCTGGTTATATAGAAAATTACTTTGTAATAGAAGAAGAACTAGAGAGATTTACGATAAGAGAAGAAAGGGTATTAACCAATGACCTATTAAATTAAGAAACAGAATATATGTGAAAATATTAGAATGTTATTGCTGGAATACTATGTATGTTGTACAAGGGATACCCGAAGTTTTATTAATATGTTTATTTAAGATGAATTTGAATATGTTAATTGAAATTAGTGAAGCTTAAATGCAGGATGATGACTGTTTGGACTGACTGAATTTTATGAAGAAATGGATTAAACTAAATTTGTTATATCATGTGAGAGAAATAGAGAGGGAAATCTTTAATGTACTAACTTCAGTTATATATGTATGACTTTGTTTTGGGATGATTGATTTCCCCTTCACCATGGTGTTTTCTTGAGCATTTTGATGCAAAAATTAAAAAAAAGCCAATAAAATTTGTTTGAAAAAAAAGGAAGTGCAGTCAGCTCAGAAATGCGCCTGGCTGATGTGATGGCGACCAGGAAGGCGACCTTGTGGGATAAGGACCGTAGAGCACTAGTTGTGAGAGGCTCAAACGGTGGTCTGGTGAGGGCCCGTAGGACCTGTGTACCACGGGTGGCTTAGTGTTGGTGGCGCCCTTGAGAAAGGCGCGTATCCTGGGATGCTGGGCCAAAGGGACCGAATTGGCACAGGTAAGTAAGGTTGATAGGGCTGCAACCTGCCTACGGATGGTATTAGGGGCTAAGCCCATATCAAGGCCATCTAGGAAGTATTCTAAGATCTGTGGAATTGTCAAGCCTTTCGCACCAATGGCAGAAATTCTCCATGTGGTGTCATGGATGCGATTAGTCGCCAGCCGGCGAAATGCCTGAAT